ATGGTGGCAGGCATCTGTAATCCCAGCTACTCGGGAGGCTGAGGCAGAGAATTGCTTAAACACGGGAGGTGGAGGTTGCAGTGAGCCAAGATTGTGCCTCTGCACTCTAGCCTTGGCAACAGAGTGAGGCTCCGTCTCAAAAAAAATAAAATAAAATCCTCCTAAACAGGTACCTAAACCACTCATGCCTTCCAGCTAATGAAGGCTTTGGTTGGGTGGAGGGTGGCTGCTGAAGGGAAGAAGCTGAGGGTCAGGGTCTCCATGTTTGTCTGCAGGGGGCCCTTACCTCTTCCTCATGGGAAGCAGGCAGTGGAAGGACAAAGATGCAAAAGAGCTGCTTTTGAGCCTCAAGAAAACTCCATCTCCGTGGAGACTACTCCAAGAAGAGCGTGAACCAACAGCAGAAAAACTCCAGAATCTAATCCCAATGCTGGCATCCTGAATCGTTTTTTTGTAAATGATTCTTACATGGATAGGAAAATCTACAAACATTTAATAACTTACGAGATGTCGTATTTTACTGTTATCTATGAGATGTGGGGACTTCATTAATTTCCTACATGTATTACTTTTAAAATTAGAAATAAAGATTAAACCCAAAAAAAGTCAATGCCTTTGAATGATGACAAAACCAACCTCCAATAAGAAATCACTGTGGGCAGGCTGGGCATGGCGGCTCAAGCCTGTAATCCCAGCACTTTGGGAGGTCAAGGTGGGTGGATCACCTGAGGTCAGGGGTTCAAGACCAGCCTGACCAACAAGGAGAAACCCCGTCTTTACTAAAAATACAAAAAACCAGGCATGGTGGCACATGCCTATAATCCCAGCTAATCAGGAGGCCGAGGCAGGAGAATCACTTGAACCCAGGAGGTGAGGTTGCAGTGAGCCAAGATTTCGCCATTGCACTCCAGCCTGGGCAACAAGAGTGAAACTCTGTCTCAAAGAAAAAGAAAAAAAATCATGGTGGGCAGCCCACCCAGGCAAGGGGCACCTTGTGTATGTGTAGGGAGTTGATGGGGGAGGGTCCTCTGGACCTTGCAGACTCAGCTGTGTCCAAAGTATGTAACCAGTCATTGCCCAAATGTTGTCCCCCAACTTCCTTCCAGGCACATCACATGGCCTGTCTATGACAGATGGGGAGTTCCTGGAACAGAATGGCCTCAGCAATGGAGGTTGTGTCTTAGGTAACCAGGAACCTGAAGCCCTCAGGAATCCTGGAGGACTGCTGGTCTGGGAAGATACCATCTAGAACTACTTAACTCTCAGGTAACCTGACATTTCTCTTCCTGCCACCTTAGCTATACGCTGATAACCTGAGCAGCTCTGCAGGAATGCCAGGCTCCTGCTCAGCTGTGGGTGGGCAGGTGGCTGTGCTGGGTCGCCCCTGCCGCCTACAGGCAGAAAGTGGATGGTGCAAGGTTTCCTTCCAAACAGAAATCACCCTTCACAGAGCTGAGCCTGGCATTACCACAAAGAAACCTCACAATGGTGTGCAAGACAAATATTGAGAAAAACAGACCCCAGAAAACTGAGATGGAACAAGTATGTCAGGTGTAATTAAAGCAAGCCTTGAAACAAACGCAGAAGGTAAAGAACAGCTAGAATTATGCCACAGATTAAAGCTGTTAAGTGATTGCTAGCATAACACAAATTTGAGGGGCCTCGTAAGTGCTGATTCCAGCTCACCAATCAGTCAGCTGAGGGAGGCAGCTCACATCACTTGGTGAGCAGCAGAGCCAGGACTCAGATCCATGCCTCTGCTGTCCGTTTTACAAGATTTAGTCTCAACAAAATGCATCAAGGCCCCAAGGCCAACAGCCAGAGCTCCTCCAATCAGGTTTGATCACACTGGTGCTCAAGCACTGTGGCCCAGAAACCTGACCACAGGAATACTGGCTGCACACTGACAGGATGCTGGGAGTGTGTAGGTGGCTAGTGCGGACATTATGGCGGAGGTGAGCAGGAAGGACAGAAGTGGTTAGCCCAGACTGAAGTTACACATGCTGAGTTTAAATTCACTCATTTTTTGCACTGTTTCCCAATATGTACTATGAAGGTAGAAGGCACTACAGCCACGTGTAAACAGCTGGGGAGGCAACAGATGAAGACCAGTTAAATGTTAAGAAACGCGTTCCCTATGGTACTGAAATCGGTTCTGCCACCCTCATACCAGTTGGTTACACAACAGATGCTAAAAGTAGTGGGTAAAATGTTTTTAGTATCAAATGCTCTTTCACGAGTTACTTATTACACATGTAAAGCAGATTACCACCCTAAATGCTCAGTCTTCAACAAAGGATAGACACATCTCCTAAAGATGTGGCATTTTGGCACCAGGGATTGGTTTCGTGGAAGACAATTTTTCTGTGGATGAGGCTGGGTGTGGAAAGGGTTTCCAGATGAAACCATTCCACATGAGCTCATCAGGCATTTGATTCTCGTAAGAGTGCACAACCTAGATGTGTCACATGCCCAGTTTGCAATTCTGGTTCACACTCCTATGAGCATCTAATGCCACCGCTAATCTGACCGCTAATCTGACAGGGGGTGAAACTCAGGCAGTAATGCTGGCTCACCTGCTCCTAACAGGCCTTGGACCTGAGGTTGGGGACCACTACCCTATAGTAAAGCCCCTTGCTTGGCCAAAATGCAAACCCCCATCAGGTCAGGAGCAAACAGACAGAGATTGAGAGACCATCTAAATAAAAAAGGCCTGGAATATTCAAAAATGTTAAGATTAGGACAAATTCCCCCTGACCCCTCAGGACTCTGGGCAGACCCCGAAAGTCCTATAACCACGGCCAAAGCCTAGCACCATCTGCATTCCTGGGACACACCCTGGCTTTGGTTTCCACAAAAACAGGCCATATGTTAGTAGCACGATTATTTTATTATATACTTTTTATAAAAAACAAATGCCCAAAGACATACACCGCCCCCTGCCCACCCCATGACCACTAGAGAGGCAGCTCATACCTTTCCTAATGTAGATCTGACCACATTGTTTCCATACATGCCCATAGATACTCCTCTCCCCTCAAATATTTGTATCTCAAAAAAGGAGGTGCAAGAGTATATAAAGATAAATTTTCTTGTTGTTGTTACAGTGCGAACACCAGATGACTACAGGGGGCAAAACAAAAACACAAACCCCATCTTCAGTGAGGAATGGAAGGTCTGTCACCTGCCTCAAGTAGCTGAATCTCCTGCTGTAACTGGCTCCCTGACATTCATGGGTTTGTAGGGACATGGCCCAGGTGATTGCTTCTACTTGTTTCCAGAAGGCACATGTCTCCTATATCCTTTCTTAGTAACTAACTAAAGATGAACTACAGGAGAACCCAGTATTCAGATTCTGCCCAGAGGTATTAAATGCACAAGGAAAAATTAGTTATGTCCAAGTAGCAAGCAGTATTTTTAAACCAACATGGTTAAATGTTAAGATTTGTAGAAATCAAAATATTTATTCACATAATTTTAAACTAAAGCTGAAGCTAATAGATCTTCCGTGGTAATGATTTAAGTGCAAGTGATGCTTGGCTTTCTTTCACATTCATTTCTTTTCTTCAGAAGGAAGGCTTATCAGTTATTCTTGAACAAGTCAATACAGCTCTGCAAAAGGGAGACATTGTTCTGTGGGGAAAAAAAGTCAAGGCAGACCAATGAATGACTAAAACTTGCCATATACCTGTAACAACAGAAGTCTACCAACATAGCTTTTCAGGGGAGATTTAAAGTCAGCCAGAGTGAGCTGGCCCTTCTCTTCATTAAATCCCAGGTGAACTGCAAAGTACCACTCATACCAATTTCACGCAGGAGAGCTCCTCTCCCTCAGTGGATAAACCTACCAGCCCAAGGGCTGACGTTCGCTTCAGCACATCTGCCCTCACCTGCTTGCTCCCAAATGTGATCCTGGCTTACTTTAACTTCTTAGATGCTATGTAAGTGAATTGTTCTATGAAGGCGAAGGCCTTGGAAAGACAATAAAAGTTGCTAGAAATTAGGGCTGGGAGAGGTAGCTCAGGCCTATAATCCCAGAGCTTTGGGAGACCACAGCCGGTGGGTAGAACACCTGAGGTCAGGAGTTCAAGCCCAGCCTGGCCAGCCTGGTGAAACCCCGTCTCCATTAAAAAAAAAAAAAAGTTGCTAAAAATTAGTCATGGGTAACATTACAAATGAGATGACAAATAAACAATGAATGTCTCCCATCAACTAAGTACCACAGATGATTAATAACACACAAGGCCACCCCAACTGCCTGATGACACTGGGTTAGTAAATTGGGAAACAACTTACCCTGGCATGTTTTATTTCCAGTTCAGACATCTCAACTAGATTCTTTCTAAATGCTGCCACTCTCTTCCGTTTGAAATTTATCAGTTCTACAGGAAGAAAAAATGTTTATGAAACAAAGGAAAACTAAACAATTTCCATGGTCACTTTAACTACCAAATGGCATTCTTGAACATGTGATGTACCTCACTCACACCCTCTAAGTACCAGTGACTGGGGACAGGGCTGAAAAAGGGGTGATGGTGAGCCACATACTTCACCAATGGCTTGTGAAAACTCTTCTCAAAAGAAGACATACCAGGTTCGTGCAAACAATGTTCAGCATCACTAACCATTTGGGAAATGCAAATTAAAACCACACAATGAGATTACCTCACACCTACTAGAATGGATTTTCTCAAAAAGATGAAAGATCAGTGTTGGCAACAATGCAGAGAAAAGGGAACTCTTCTACACCATTGCTGGGAATATAAATTAGTACAGCCATCATGGAAAATGGTATAGGGGTTCCTCAAAAAACTAAAAACAGAGCTCCCTTATGATTCAGCAAACCCACTTCTGGGAATGTAACAAATTATCTCAATGGGATATCTGTACTTCCATGTTCACTGCAACATTATTTACAAAAGCCAAAATACAAAATCAATCGAGAAGTGTCCATTGATGGATGAACAAAACGTAGTACAGACATGTAATACTATTCAGCCTTTAAAAGGAACAAAGTTCTGTCATATGGGACAACATGGATGTGCCAGAACAGAGAAAGACAAGCATTACATGATCGCACTTATTGGGTAAAATCTTAAGCTGAACTCCTAGAAGCAGAGAATAGAATGATGGATATCAGAGGATGAGGGTGGGGTGCTGGGGCAGATGGGAGTAAGAGAATGGGTACAAGGATGCAGCTAAACTCAAGGAATACATTTTGATGTCTATTGCACAACAGGCGACTATAGTCAAAAATGTATACTGAAACAGTAAATTTCAAATGCATTACCACTGAAAAAGATATTACCTCGATCTAACGATTTCACATTATATACATGTATCAAAGCATCACACTGTATTTCCATGAAGGCAATACAAGAACTTGTCGATTAAAAATAATACTTAAAACATCTTAAAATCCAAAACTGTGAAAACTGCTACTAGTATTCAAGACAGGACATGCTTCCTTTTCACCTACTACTGCCAACAGAATTCAGGATTAAAGACCTATTGGAAATTAAAACAAACAGAGAATATGCATGCCTTGCTCAAATTCCTTTATTAGCTCCCTGCCTTCCTCTAGACCTACACACATACTGGGGCTCCATACGCTAACTATTCACCGCCTGTGAAACCAGCCCTTACCCACTGACTCAACTATAGTCGGCTGAGCCACAAGTCTCAGAAAGCATTTGTACGAAAGGCAAACAGGTTAAGACCCACCAATCTCAGCATTCCACAGAACTTTATACCTTTTAGACAGTATACCTATCTTATTTTTGAATAGAGGATATAATCAACATGGGCAAAAAGCTTAGGCAGTAAAGACAGACCTAAATTGGCATCTTTTTAAAGCTTTGTTTTTTAATCTCCTCTAAAATTGCCAGAGCCATGAAACTAGCCTGTAAGATTTCAACTCAGTAGTTTTGAAGTGTGTACTTTTCTTGAAAATATAAGTTAGTTTTACAAAGAAAGCAGTCATTTTTTCAGGAACAGGGTAGCACGAAGGCTACTTTGGAAGAATACAGAAGACAGCCTCAGAGGCTGTCTACACACTTGCCAGGAAGCTCTGTGCCTTACAGTTAAGGCACTCACTGTATTATAATCCCAAACAGACAAAGACAAATGATTACAACTCTATATAAAGTCGATGTTCCCCCCAGGTAGCTTCAAGTATATTGATGAATAGACCATTTCCAGATTACCCTACCACTGGGAAATAAGAAAAATTTGCAGAAAGCTACAAAAGATAGTAATTTTTCATGGAAACATGAAACTAGTCACATTCTGGGCAATCAATTCCAACATCTGCTCTGGCATGTCCCATGGCTCCTGAGAACCCAAGGGAAGATCCACACAATCCTCTTGGGTAAGGACTACATATGAAACGCATGTTCAATGGAAATGGTGAAAGCCCTCTGCTCAGAGAACTGAAATGGATAAGGCAAGAACCCTGTGGACATGGACCAGACTTGTGATCTCTGAAACTTGCATGTGTGTGCAATGGCATGCAAGTACACACGCACATACATTTCCTAGCTCAGTCCACTCAAAGGCACAGAGGCAGAGATACCCCAAAACAATGAGCATACTCAGATGCTGGTAACTCTTCCTGAAGAAAAAGAACCGTGGCTCCTTGAAGAAATGGCCAGTTTCAAGGCTGGAGTAGAGAATAAGATTAGCATAAACTATTGCTCTAAAAAAAATGGAGGATGGAGTGTTACGCCCACATGCCAGCTTAACGGTGCTCCTACCGGCAAAGTCTGGACAAGCATCAAATAACTTAGTAGTACAATAAACTCTAAACCATTTTAAAAACTAAAAATCCATGACTCTAATAAAGATGATAATGGACATTTCTGAGAAAAGAGAAGGCTTTTTGTAGTAGGATGCCAGGTGTCAACTTGGGCAGGACAGCTTGAGCTGGAGATGAGGAAAATCGTCTTTTTGCAACCATCAGAGTAAAGGCTGGTTTAGGCAAGAATCATCAATACATGCTAAACCTAGGAAGAAAGTTTGATGAAGAGTAAGATATTTACATGGTCTTAAATTGCCTTACCACAGATTGATGCGGGTTAAAACAGTTAACTATGCTGTGGAGAAATTGGATTTGGATAATATCTGACTGCGTAATCAAAATCACCACTATAAATGAAGGAGAGATAGACACACAATGTTTCCTTAGAAGTGACACCCCAAGAAGGGCTTATTACTTCTGCTAGGAACAAGCCAGCCAAAAGTGAGAAATACAGTATTTGGAAAGAGATTCTCTAAAAAGACTGCTATCGTTAAAAACTAAGAACCATTCCCTAATAGATAACAGGATGCAGTCCTACACTGAATCTTGTAGACGACATCAGGACAAACATGAGAACACAGACGGTAGACTGTAGTCTTAGAGTTAAGTTTACCACATCAAATAAGTGTACCGTAACCACACAAGAGAATGTCTTCAGTCTTAGGAAATATACGACAATGTTTTTAGGGCCAAAAGGAGTGTGGTATACGCAACTTAATCTCAAATGGTACAAAAAAACCAGGTGTGCAATGTTTGTAGGCACACAAAAGCCATAAGGGTGACTGTGGATGTGCAAGTGATAAGGCAGATGGCATGAAGTCCTAACACTAGGTGAATGATACAGGGGTGTTTTTTGCACTATTTGTGCAAATTTTCTAAGTTTGAAGTTATTTTCAAATAAGAGTACAGAAAGAAAAATGTCTCTGCTCGACCTTCTTTTGCAGATTCAGAAAGCTGTTCAAATTTCTGGCAGCACTCCTGCTGGTGTGCCTCAGCCAACTTGACGTCTTTGCTCTTTAACCGGGCCTTATCCAGAGCTTTGTTTGAGTTCTCATAGTCAATGAGGGCTTTGGTGCGTCTGTATAAGAGATCCTGGGAAAAAAAATTAACAAGTATACATACTAAAATATCTAAACCAGTCTAAAGAATGCTGCCCAAGTGACAATGTACCACCTGAGATGTTAGGTGGTAACAATCTACCTCTACACCTTCTCTCCCCCTATTTTTAAATCTCCAGCTTCAGCAGGGATGAGCAACACTGATAGCTTTGTTGAGAGCTTTTTTAGAATTCCTTATATCAAGTGATTACCCAAGAGTAAAAACAGAAGGACTATTTTTTCCAGTTAATTCAATAAATAAAGGTAACTTTAAAAATTAAATATTTTTGGATCAAAACATATAGTCACTTCTGGGTAACTCAAGTTGAGCGCTGCTAAAATATAACTGGGCAACGAAGTAGCAAGAAACATAACCCTACCCTGCAAATCCTGCTCCTTCTGGTAATCTACCCTGGAGATCCACTTAGTTAGTCAAATATAATGGTTCTTTGCAATCTTTTTTCCAAGACGGAGTCTTGCTGTCACCCAGGCTGGAATGCAGTGGTGCGATCTCGGCTCACTGCAACCTCTGCCTCTCAGGTTCAAATAATTCTCCTGCCTCAGCCTCCTGAGTAGCTGGGACTACAAGCACGCACCACCATGCCCAGCTGATGTTTGTATTTTTAGCAGAGATGGGGTTTCACAATGTTGGCCAGGCTGGTCTTGAACTCCTGACCTTGAACTCTTGAACTACCCACCTCGGCCTCCCAAAGTGCTGGGATTATAGGCGTGAGCCACTGCGCCCAGCCTCTTTGCAATCTTACGACAAAGTAGAAGTTACCTCAGTATCTAAATTCAGCAATTATGATGTATAGATTATACATTTAAAAATAGGTGAAATAATGAAAGATGGGTGAAACTATTAGACCTCTTTTTGTATATACTCAAAAACTCTTTAGTGACCTCTTAATTCCATGGAAGTAGAAAATAAGCTGACAAAAACAGTGTTTTTAAAAACTCCAAGATTCAGAAAATATGCCAAAGGGCAAATTAACTAAAACAACATTATATGATGAGGGAACAAATAAACTTTTACTCTTTTATTTTCTGATGACATTTCAGGACCACAGGCCTATCTAATTTTATTTAGCCTGATTTAATACATTTCACATAAAATTAAAACACGTTTGTTTAGACCATTACGGACAGTGAAGAATGCATGTTTCATTTCCAAAGATTATTCTGTCTGCTCACCACTTCATCTATCTATATATATTATAAATAATGCTTCACGGCTCAAAGGCTACAGGGATACTTGCAATTCAATAAAACTCCCAAACCTTCTCTGCCGTAGAAGTAGCCCTTGCTGCATGTTACGCCCCACATCAATGACCTAGAATATCCCAAACTATTATCTGTCTACACCACACAACCCCTACAGCGCTGTCAGATATACAAGCCTATAAGGATACAACATTAGATGTCATTTATAAAAACAAGTCTGATAAATTTTTATTTTCCCCCTTTGCATAAAGCAACTTTTTAAACAGGCTTCTTGTCTTGTACTGCTCTGATAAGCTAAGCAACTTCTTTTCCTACCTTAGCAGCTTCGATGTTAAGCATGTAGTATCGGAGGAGCTCTGTTAGCTTTAAATCTTCATCTGATGAGACTCGACCCTCTACTTTCTATATAGAAAAGGAACGGTCACCATCAAGGCAGAAAGCTACAGATTGTAAAATATACATTATGAAGACCAACACAAAAATCCTTACCCTAAGTTTTTCAAATAGCTCAGCAACCTTCAATAGGTACCTGGAAGTATACACATAATTTTGGCTTAAGGTCTTAAATCACCTATAAAATATGCTCTTACCAGTGTGCAAGACATGAATGGGTTAACTCAGGAGTCCTAGCCTTTGGCACTTTAGCATTAATTTAAAAGTAGTGCTCTCACTTCAACCGGCCCAAAATAATAGAGACAATGGTCACAAAATTACACACGTTTACAGCACCACACTCAGTGGCATCAGCCTCTTGGTGTCCTTTCTGTTATCCTGCCATGTATCCAAATATTCTTATTAAATGCCAATGCTGTGTTAACCAAGGTTGGGTTTAATGAGCTCTGCTATGGGCATCCCAAAGCAGTAAATACATTAATTCATCATGGTTCTCCCATTAGCCTCTCAATTTCAAGTCACAAGTAGTATCACCTGTTTTGCCAAGCCTAGATGTTAAGTAAAATATTGCCTTACACTAGAAATGTCCAGGATGGAAAAACTGAAACACATACATAAGTGAAGAGTGAAAACGGAAAGATTTTTAATTCAATGAATGAATGTAATTTCAGAAAATTGTGCATCAAACTGGCTATCAGACTGAGGTCATTACACTATTCTTCAGACCATCACAACCAAATCTCTTCAAGATCCAGGGACAGAGGCACACGATCTCAGGATCTCCTGGGGCTACAGCCCAGCCCAAAAAGGTAGTCCAGGGCATTACCAGGCAAAATGGCAAGCACCAATCACCAGATAAACTCTCTCAACCCCCAAAACTAAAGCAAACAGGCTTTTTAAGTGTGATAGAAACTAGCTTGGACCACATTAACCATATTTATTTATATATAGAAGAGCCCAAGTCCCCTACAATTATCTTACAAGCGTCTTATGTACAGAGAACATGTAAGATGAGTGCTGGAGACTTGCCTTAGCGAGCTTGTAACTCCAGAGCAGGATGGAAACCATGGCAGTCTTTACTCATTTATGCTTTTAGTTATATCACTCAGCACTCTTCAATTAAGTTAGAGGAAAAGCTTTTCCAAAAAAACTTACTTTTTGATGACTGTGGGCTCTTCTAAAGCCAGGCTATGTAAGCAGGCTGCAGTGTGGATATAGTCATCGGCAACATCTGCAGAAACAAGGACAGCTCTTTTTATCCAAACAACAGCCAGGCTCATCAGCAAAGCTCTAAGTTACTAATGGTAAATGATATTTACTTTTATGAGATCTGGTCATTTTGTCAGCTTTCACACAAGAATCTTTGATCCTATTGTAATAGTTAATAAGGAAGTTCTTCTCTTGTTCAAAGAAGTCATCTACCTCCTAGAAGAAAAAAAAAATAACCAGGCATTTCAAGGATGTGAAAATATACTACCCATGCAGCCTTTTCTATTTATCAAAATAAAAATATTGCTTAGAACATGGCAAATAAACATGAATATAAAGTTTAACCTCTACAGATGAGAGAATTACAAATTTATGATACTATTTCTTAACCAAGGCTGGCAAAAATCCAAGGGCTGGCAGAAAATGTATACAGAAGAACCATTTAACAATCACCAGTGAAACTGGCATCCTCTCTAACACCCAGCAATTTTACACTAGTACAATGGTTCTATCAGGTGGAACATGGCCACTTAGCTGTTGATACCTATCTGTGTGAGAATGAGTTTTTTTCCTCTTGACTTGGTTGCTTTCAGACTGAGAGGAAATCCTGATTATCTGGTAGACAGGCAAAGGATGCCAATGCCAAACATCCCATAATGCCTGGATCCAGGACAGTCCCAGACACCTTAAACTGCACCAAGTTTAAGTCCGAGTTTCCAAATTTCTGACGATGCCTTCTCTACTTAGCACCTGTATTCTGGGCTCCCTGGAGTGGTAAAGCCAGATCTAACGGATGATAACTGTAAGGGTAACTCAGTTACAAAGGAATGAGAAGGCCCAGAAGTAAGCAAGTAAATCATTCCTATGAGGATAATGAAAATGTTAGGAAGATTTTGTATTCTTATCTTAGTGCTAACACCTTAAAAACCCGTATGGAAATAAAATCTAAAATTTGGTTACTTAGTTGTGTCAGCTAGGTTACACGTCAATGCTTCTCTACCACCTGTAGCTGGTGACCAAACTGGACAGTGTAGTTCTGTGAATGGCATAAAATACGATCTTGTACTTTATTTTAGAAATTCACTGAGTAATCTCCCTACTTATAGAAAAGGAGAAAATGAAGCCAAGTGTGGAAAGGTTAACATTGAGTTTCCTGGGAGAGAACAAGGTGCTTTGGGAAATAGGTGAAAATTGAGTAAGTAGATGAAAATTACCAAACTTTAAAGAAAGCTTGCATTTCTTATAAGTTAACCATTTGTTTCACAAGTATCTCTTTCAAAGAAAAGATTCCCAATTAAGTCAAAAATTTTCACGAACAGCCAAGTCACTTACCTTAACTCCAGTAAAAAGGACTTCATCAGCACTTTTCACCACACTTTTGAAGAAGCCACCAAACACCTCTTTAGTATTTTTCCGCCTAACACTTAGCTAAAGGAAGAAAATTCCAAAGAACAGCTTGTATGATATGTATTTTTCTAGGTTCTTTTAAAGAAGTTCTGACTAACATTTCAAGGAATCCTTTTCATTAGTATGGGCAAATGCATAAAGTATTTTTAATTTTGCCTTAACTTCCAAGCTTAAAACATCTCATGGCTGAATCTCAACATAGGTAGGTCATCTAATTCTAAAAGACTTAAGAGATTTTGAAAGACTCACTAAAAGAGCTAAGTCTTAGTGGCTCTGAAATCCTTGGGAAAATTACTGTTCTATCCATATTAAGTAGCAAAAACCAAAACATGTTAAAAACACCCTAAGAGTCGTCTTTCAACAAAAAGCGTAGCCAGGAAGAAAATAAATTTACACTAATTTTAATTCCTTTAAAATGAAATTAGTTAAGTTTGGGATTGTTAGGAAATTAAGGGATGTTTGGGATTGTTAATCTCTTAAAAAGAAACCTAGCTTTTGGAAGGGGAAAGGCAAAATTTTCCTTAAGCAGAATTTTACAAAATTGTTTTACACAATGAAGGAAAAGCAGCATCTAAAAAGGTTTTCATTGTGTAAGAAATTTCAAAACTTCAGTCGATTTTTTAGAAACTATCAAGTACATTTTGAAAGTATAAACATTTGAAATGGCCTATCAAAACAGAACTAAAATGCCTTACATCCTGATCATATTCCAGGAAAACATGAAAGTTGCGATCTTTACTGAGAACAGGGTGAGAAGAAAGCCGCTGAAGAAAGACTTCATGGGAGGACACAGTCTTCTTAAAAACAGCGAGATATTCACTGGAAAGAGATGTGCACATGGTATTCAGTTGGCACAGCTCAATTACCTGACCAATAAATACTACTCCTGGTTAATTCTATGGCTCTGCTCATGCCACCAATGCAACTGGACCAAACAGTGTTTCAGTACAACCTGGTGTCTAGTTAGATACATAAGGCAGCTGACATTTTTGAATCTGTGGAATAAGCCTATGGAGGAAAGCAATGTTGTCATTGGGTTTGATGGATCAAGTCCATGGGCTCCCAAATCTACACACAATTACTGTTATTTAGTAGTCACACAACATCTGTTTCTGTAAAGCAATGAAAACCCTTTAACTCTGAAGCCTGAGTATACAATACCGCATGATTTGAGGAAGCTGAAAATTAACAGAAATTATAAAGCAGCTCTATCTCAACCTACACATTAAAGGTCACTTTAAAATTCCTAAAGGTAAAAACTTGGGTATGTTGTGTTCGATGTGCCTCATTCCCCAGAGCTGATAGCCACTCAAGTATGTGCTAAATGCTTTCAGTGCCTGGAGGTCTGAGTGCTGCCCTAGATGACACAGGGGTTTGGGGAGGGGGAGATGATGGCAGAAGGGAGGGGTGAGTACTTTTCAGCTGAGATGAGGAAGTGCAAGGATAGATTCTAAAGAAACTTTCCAAGAATCTATTTTTGTTTGAAAAAAATTAAATGACAGGTTAGGCATGGTGGCTCATGCCCATAATTCCAACATTTTTGGGAGGCTGAGGCCGGCAGACAGGCGAATTACCTGACATCAGGAATTCAAAACCAGCCTGGACATCACGGTGAAACCCTGTTGCTACAAAAATCCAGCTACTCTGGAGGCTAAGGCAGGAGAATAGCTTGAACCCGGGAGGCAGAGGTTACAGTGAGCTGAGATCTCACCACTGTACTCCAGCCTGGGCAGCACAGCCAGACTCTGTCTCAAAAAAAAAAACTCATGTAACAGCTTTCATTACATTCTGCTGTAGTTTCTTCTAAAATTCTGGTAACCAAGCTTCAGAAAGAAAAGCTTTGTAGATTTTGAGCAATTTATAAAGACATAAAAGTTTACTTCCTCACTGTGCCAGACTAGCATCCCTAATAAGTATGCTCTACATATGAGAAAAAAAAACTAGTCTATCAGGTATTAGTGCCAATGGCCTCCAATGAATCAATGTGTGAAGTACAAAGACCATGTCCCACACTATGCAAGATGTACTACTAGTTTTAGAAAAGGACACTAGGGACCTAATTAACACCTACACTTAAACAAAATTAAGTCAGGTTCTTCTACTTATTTCTGTACACAGCACCAATTTTCTACTTCTCAAAAGACAGAGCCCACCAAGAAAATCCACTTACGCTTCCAGTTCTTGTTTCATCTTGGCAAATTCTTCTTTGGTCATAGACCCTTCACCTTCTCCTAGTTTCTGCATCTTCTCTCGAGGACCATCGAAGTCAGGCTTTGTAGGAGCAGGCGGAATCTGCAGCAGAGGCAGGAATTCATAAGCCTCTTGTCCCAGCAGTGAGGTTTTCTAGTTGGTGCCTCATTTCTACTCTTGCTGGTCCACAGGAAACAACCACTCCACTCCTGTGGGGCTATCTGAAAGTCAACTCGTTTTTTTCTTAGCCTTATTTCTTCTGGCCATTTAAAAGGAAGTGTCTTCCTGAGAGTTGCGTATTCGACTTTGATGGCAATCATTTGGTCAGTTTATCCATTACAGACAATCGTTCAGAGCACAACAATGTCTACACTGCTTCAATGTTGGCCTAAAACTAGTATAATTAATGCTAAACACCAACAATTAGCCATCAAGATTATAAAGTCTCTAGTATTCCAAAGGGATTTTTTCCTAATCCCTAAGGATAATCAAGAGCTCTAATTTTGAATGAACAGAACATATCTAAATATAAGCTTCGTACTAGTTTCATTTAATTATTAAGAAATCATCATTTGGACAGATTCTTCAGTCTGCCTGGCAGGACAAAATCCATGGAAATCTCCTTTACAATCAGCTAAGTCTCTGTTCCTGTAGCCAAGAATTAATGATCAAGGACAAAAGTTTTTGGGAAAACAGAATATCACTCTGGCACCCAGGCTGGCGGGAAGTGGCGTGACCTTGGCTCACTGCAACCTCTGCCTCCCAGGTTCAAGGGATTCTGTGCCTCAGCCTCCCCAGTAGCTGGGACTACAGGCATGCACCACCACACTCAGCTATATTTTTGGTAGAGACAGATCTCAGTATGTTGCTCAGGCAGGTCTTGAAACCCTGAGCTTAGGTGATCCAACCACCTTGGCTTCCCAAAGCCCTAGGATTACAGGCATGGCCTTCTTCAGCACTTTTTGAGAAATCTTATCACATACTATTACCAATACTAATGTTTCCCAGAAATCAATTCTACTGACGTTGGAAACAACATACCATAGAAAAACCAAACCTAAAGGTAAATAAGACTTCTTATAAATAAGACTTCTTAGAAGAATTATAAATAAGACATTATTTATAATTCTTCTAAGAAGTCTTATTTATAAGAAGTCTTATTTACCTTTAGGTTTGGTTTTTCTATGGTATGTTGTAAAGTCATTTATTTACATCAACAGTGTAAAGTCATTACACTGTTTACAACCTTTTACAACATAAATAATGTAAGCCTGTATGCATCACCGCAAAGCTGTAACACTATTCCTTCACATATTTTCCACTTGACCAATAGTTAGCAAATGCTCTAGTGGGTAGATGAAATTAAACTTTTCACAATGTATTATAAAAAAAAAGTGGATATAAGTCTCTTTAAACTAAATGAACAGCAAGGCAGAACTAGCTTATTTAGTTTTCTAAAACACTCACAATAAGCCCAGCATAGTCTGTTGTTTCAATAAGAGTGTCATGTAGCCACACAAAGTCTTCATGTTGCCTTGTAACAGAAAACTCTGGGCTCTGAAACGTGGGCAGCGTGGTCTGTAAACAAAGAAAGACGTTAACTGGTTACCACCACTTTTTGATAAGTGACTTAAGTTTCCTGGGCTGCACAGTGGGAAAATTCTGCATAATACACCATAATGTGATCCAGTAAACAAGAAAGCAGTAATACATGATCTCCTGTCATGAAAGGCATAGCTAAGATTCAATCTGAACTCTAAGGATTTCCAACCCAAATTCCACCTTACTGAAGCTTGTAATGAATATCCAATCAAAGAATCCACTGGTAGAAGTAGTTCAGTTTAAGGAAGGTAAATCATCACCCTATTTTTTTGTTTGTTTTTGTGTATTTTTTTTTTGTTTACATACATTTTTGGGACAGGGTCTGGCTGTCATCCAGGCTGGAGCACAGTGGTACAATGCTGACTCACTGCAACCTCTGCCTTCCAGGCTCTCAAGCCATCCTCCCACCTCAGCCTCCTGAGTAGCTGGAACTACAGGTGCACGCTACCACATCCAGCTACTTTTTATATTTTTGAAAGAGACAGGTTTTTTGGCATGTTGTCCAGGCTCAAGTGATCTGCCTGTTTTGGCCTCCTGAGATGCTAGGATTACAGGTGCAAGTCACCCAACCCGGCCCCAAATTCTACTTTTATAAATCTGAATTTGGCCGGGCACAGTGGCTCATGCCTGTAATCCCAGCACTTTGGGAGGCTGAGGCAGGCCAGTCACAAGGTTAGGAGTTCGGGACCAGCCTGACCAACATGGTGAAACCCTGTCTCCACTAAAAATACAAAAATTAGCCGGGCACGGTGGCACATGTCTGTAATTCCAGCTACTCAGGAGGCTGAGGCAGGAGAATCGCTTGAACCTGGCAGGCAAAGCTGAGATCACACCATTGCATCCCAGCTTGAGTGACAGAGCAAGACTCCATCTCAGAAAAAAAAAAAAAAAAAAAGGCCTGAATTTACCCCCAACTTATGACAAAAAAGAAAAGTAAATTAAAACAAAACAGAAAAAAAAACCCTCTTAGCTTTAACTTTACAGTTCTAAAAATTGTCTCTGACTTCCTTCCTTTTACTCCAGTGAATGCTGATTTTACCTTCTCTGATCTGGTAAGCTCAGGCAGCGAATTATGTCACCAGTCTTCAGACTGCCTCAGAATGACTGAAGTATGCTATTCAAGCCACCCAGGCATTAAGAAAAAAAACACGTGGGAAAGGTCCTTCCCAATTTAGTAAATACTGAAAAAACAAGCTACAGAGAGAAACTTCCCTTGGATGCAAATTAAAAACAAAGTTGGGGTCAGGCGTAGTAGCTCTGGCTTCCGCTTTCAATCCCAGCACTTTGGGGAAGTCAAGGCGGGTGCATCACCTGAGGTCGGGAGTTTTTGAGACCAGCCTGTCCAACATGGTGAAACTGCATCTACTAAAAATACAAAAACTACACCTGTAATCTCAGCTACTCTGGTGGCCAAAGCACGAGAATCACTTGAACCTGGGAGGCATGGACTGCAGTGAGATGGTGCCACTTCATTCCAGCCTGGGCAACAGAACGAGACAATCTTTTAAACAACAACAACAACAACAACAAAACACCACACACTAAGGTGGAAGATGTGAGCTGCATCACTTTGGCTAGCACACTTCCTCATGAAGCACAGTATAGGCCACACAAGATCGGCAATGCCTACAGCCTAGGGCTCTGCCACAGCAGAATGCTACTCCCGCAATGGCACTCACCTGATGTGTACTGTGAGATAAATTAGGGAGGTTCTCACTTAACAATAGTGCTACTCTGTAAACACCAACTGTTTCAAGCTCAGGGAACCTCTTAAATCCACTGTGAATAACAAGGCTGCAACCCAGCACTGTATGTATTACCACTGTATATTACTTACCTTTGTGTGCACTGTAAATTTGACCTTCTCTCTCTCACTGAGCGCATCTGGTATGTCAATCTGGAGCGAGGGATCAACATTCAGGTCCACAGATACAGATCTCAGCTGAAATACATTTTTTCAGTATTAGTTCCAAACTCATTTAGCCCTAAAAAATTATTCCAAAAATGAGAAGTAGTTATTGAAAAGCAGTTTATATGTAGATCATTTAGAAATGTCAGTTGAGACATTTCTAAGTTGATTTGAAACTGAGGGGAAACCTGCTCTTCAAATGCATTGGTATAGACAATATGCATTTAGTCTTTTCTTCAAGACTAAAAACTTACGTACTTAACCTCTAAAACCTGTAAATCTGGTCAATCTGCTACAAAGACTAAATATATTCACTAAAAGCACATGGATTACTTAGAAGTTTTAAGTACTTCCCTTTTTCCTTAAGCACTGTATATTTATAATTCTGAAAGCCAGAGGGAGCCTGCAACAATGGCTGTCCTCAAAGAAAGAAAAGCTCAAGTAGTCACCAGAAGCTGATTTTAACACCAGCTACTAGGAAGATCACAACAGATACGGTAGAGCCTTCACATCTCATTGTAAGTACTTTTCTTCCAGATGAATTCTTGATGACTCCTATGAAATATCTGCTTGTTTGGCTTAAATTTTCACATGTCCATTTGTGAGATATCTGCAAACAAAGATAAAGCTTCAAGGTCAGGGACTTCATTTGATCATAACTGTGACTCCAGCTCTGGCATGTTTTCTTATAAGAGCTTCCTTCCTTCTGCTAAGTTAACACTGGGGAAACACAGCCTTTAACAATACCTCAAACCATTAACTGAGATGTGGTTGCAAAGGGATACCAACCACTCTACTGATCTTATGCTTATCTGTCAAGGTCAGTCAGGCCAAAGAATAGGAATAAAGAGAGCAAGACACAAGAAGTAGCCATGGACTCTGGAGGAGACATAAGATAGCTCAACAGAAAAGGTCTAAGGTGCGTTTCCCAGAGCACAAGAACTGCCCCCACATTTCCTAAGATTCCATTTCCTAAAGAAGTCACAAACCCTGACTTTTGGCCCTGCTCAACTGAATATACTGACAATTCCATTTTTGCTCACTGCAAGCCCAGCAAACTCAGTGAGCCTGTGAACTCCACAAGGGATACCCTTGGAATTCGAATAGGAGGACCCAAGGGGGATATAATCAAGTCAGTGGGACTCACTTAAGCACCACAGTCAAAGCTACAATGGATGCTACCAGCTGCTTTAGTGGCTGCTTTTTTGTTCCACTTAATAATCATCTTGTTTTTGTCCTTTTTCCCATAATCCCAACCATGCAGAGGTAATACACAAGGACTATATAAACATATTTTTCGTTTTAGAATGTGATCAAGACAAAACGAAGAAAACCATTAGGTTCTGAGTGACTGCAGCTACAGCACATGAAACATCCGAGCTTCACTAGCGGACATTTTGCCTAGACATTTTACTCTAGGCTCGCTGCACAGCAGTGCTAGCGGCTTCGCGGTTCAGTCCTGGGACCCGGCAGCTGCTTTTGGTGCTCAGCTGCTAGGAAGCCCCTCTCGGTGAGCTCGTTGGAGCTTGAACCCATTGTCACCTCTCCAACTCACCGGCAAAAAAGGGTTGAAGCAGACATTTTACTCTCGGAAGGTATTCAAGCAAAAATCCAATCACCTGACATGATAGTCTTAACCACCAAATAAGCAAATAATTCAATTCTGTATTTGGGCCTTAAAGAACTGTCTAAAAGGGAATACTGGCAAAATTCCCTCAGCATCCAGGCCATCACCAACTCAGTGTCCCCCAGTCAGAAGTTAAATGAACTTTCTCATACTGTAGCATGTAACCCTCCAGATGAGACAAACATGGGTAAAGTTGTGAAATGATTAGAGCTCAGTCAGCATTTGTATCCTCACTCAGGAAGCACCAACTATGACTAAAAGTTTAGCATTCCTTCTTATTCCTTCAAAAACCTACTCCATAGTGCTACAGAACTTGCTAAATAATTCCCAGGCTCTATTCTTCTGCTCACCTGCCTCGCTTCCATCCCCCTAAGTTTGAAGCACCCAGAGTACTCCTTAGCCCTGCTGGCCAAGTCTCTGACTTAGGCCACAGATGTTAGTATGCTTACAGTGGCCGTTTATAGCAGTTGACAAGCAGGCCTCCGAATCAAGTCTGTCCTTGGGCATGCCAGACCTTTGCCATATAAAGTTTTACCTCTTTTCCAGATCCCTTAGGTCACCTGTAAGAATCAAATTGAAAACATACCTACTCTCAAATAATGTAATTTAAATTTTAAAACTGACTTTTGGCTGGGTGTGGTGGTTCACGCCTATAATCCCAAGCACTTTGGGAGGCCAAGGTGGGAGGATTGCTTGAGGTCAGCAGTTAAAAACAACCTGGGCGATACGATGAGACCTCGATGAGACCTCATCTCTATTTAAGAATTAAAAAAATTTTTTTTTAGAAACCTGACTTTTGTACATTTCCCTTGAAACTACTGCCTCACGTATTCAAAGTTTTGGGTAAAGTTTCAGTTCATGATGAACTTCCCTATCAGATCAATCCTTACAATATGGACTATAATCAGCCTTCATGGTAAACAAGAGGCAAACGAGCACAGCCTCATTTGAAAAGCACATTTTCAACTGTTCTTAAGAAATCTGGCCCAGCCCAGTGGCTCACGCTTGTAATCCCAGCACTTTGGGAGGCTGAGGCGGGCGGATCACAAGGTCAAGAGATCGAGACCATCCTGGCCAACATGGTGAAACCCCCTGTCTCTACTAAAAATACAAAAATTAGCCAGGCGTGGTGGCACACACCTGTGTGTGGTCCCAGCTACTCGAGAGGCTGAGGCAGAGGAATTGCTTGAACCCAGGAGGCGGAGGTTGCAGTGAGCTGAGATTGTGCCACTGCACTCCAGCCTGGTGACAGAGCAAGACTCCATCTCAAAAAAAAAAAAAAAAAAAAAGAGAGATCTGAATGCTTTTGGTAAGAGAGCTGAGGCACTTTTCTAAAAGGAAAAAAGCCGTTACAGAAATCCCTGTGCATTTTCTCACCTATTCATCAGCTTCCCAGCTGGGGCACATGAAGCACTGGCTGCAGGACAATCCTACAGCTCTTGAACTCCTGCCCACCAGTCTTCATGAACTCACTTTGGGTCCAAATCTCACTTACAACTCACTGTGGCACAAGACAATACCTCCAGCAAAGCTGCCTCTCGAAAGGGTTAATGGCCTACAGATGGCAAAGGGCACCTGGAAGACTGAACAACACAAAAGGCGAGATTCTGAAACTCAGAACGCATGAGGAAAACAGAAAAAAAATACAGATCTTTCCTAGTGGTTATAATGACTGCAGACTCCAAGCCCAAAGAGACACAGTCCGAAGTAAACTTCACAATCTGATGTTAAAACGAGGCTAGTTGAATAGTCATTTAAATCTAATCAGTTTTGTGTGCAACATGATATATATACACAACATGCAGTGCTAGCTCCTTTTCCTATTTGAGTATCCCACAAAATTACAGACAGGATAGAAAAGACATGTATCTATTCAAACGACTTTCTAGTTTCCATTCCAAAGGCAGAAGATATGTACTTAGCACATGCTACAGTGTCTCCTCCCTTCAAACTTGTTCCTAGCCTCTAGGGATTTTGTTTTGTTATGCTTCACTCCACTGCCTAAGAAACTAAGATTTTGCCAGGAAGAAGGCCAATGACAAATCATCCATGATTTCTAGCATGGTGCCAAGAAGCCTGCCTCCTTGATCAGATTTTCACTCCCATCACAGGAAGCAAAAGCAGGACATACTTCAGCTGAAAAGGTATCCACATCTTGCCTAGTCCAATATTCATAAGTGAGGACATAAAATTCCACACTGTTCTGTCACACTCTAGATTTGAATTAATTTCTGCAAACATTAAAGACTCACATGATACATATTTAGGAAACATGCATTACTGTTACTGTTTGAACTCTCAGAAAAAATGTTCCCATTGGTGCTCTGAATTGTTACCATTCTCTTCCATCAAGATAACCCATATCTACTTATCTGTGCTCAATCTCAGCTTTACATTATGGCACTGGTGTGTGAAACTGGTTCAACTAACTATAAGCAATATATTAACTGCTTTTTTTTTGAGACAGAGGCTCACTGTTGCCCAGGCTAGAGTACAGTCGTGCCATGTTGGCTGACTGCAACCTCCGTCTCAAGCGATTCTCCTGCCTCGGTCTCCTGAGTAGCTGGGATTACAGGTGGACAACACCATGCCCGGCTAATTTTTGTATTTCTAGTAGAGACAGGGTTTCACCATGTTGATCAGACTGGTCTCAAACTTTTGACCTCATGATCCACCCACCTCGGCCACCTAAAGTGCTAGGATTACAGGCATGAGTCACTGTGCCCAGCCCAACTCTGCTTTTACAGATATTGGCTCTCATTCCCTAGCCATTGGTTCTCTCCTTCCTGTTAATTCAGGCCAGCAATATAATTTCTTAGTCCCTCAGGAAAACAGAACTAAGGACTTCTAACAGGAGAGCAGTCTACTAACATAGTTATTACTCAGGCATCAGCTGCTACTCAGGCATCGGCTTAATAAGAAACTAAAGGGTTACAGCAAGTGATCAGATTTTCACCACTCATCTTTGTGAGATGGGACCCAGAGGGCCCCATCCCTGCTGACACCAACCATTCTTACCCATAGCCTGCCAACACACAAGCAGTTCACAGTAGAACACTGCAGACTGCAGGGCATTTGCAGGCTACATAGCCTCAAGTTCCTAGAACAGGAACTGAGGCTTGGAAGGAGGTCAGTGCAGCGCACTCAGCGAATGGATAAACTGATTCATCATTTCACAAGGCTGTAAGCCCATGCACTAGCAGAATTAACATGGAACCAGAGTTGAATTACTGCCTTAAATATCTAATGCATGTCAACAAATGTACCTAATTACTAGATACTGAAATTATAACACTTTCAAATGAATCCACAAAGCAAAAGGGTTGAATTACATGATCTGTAAGGATCTCCTCGCAGAGAAATCCTATTGGGAATCAACACACCACTGCTATCAAGAAAACAGGTC